TTTTTTTTTTTTTTTTTTTTTTTTTAAACTTAGAGGAGCTTCTCACAAATGGCAAAAGCATCAGTATTCCTAGGATCAGTTGATCAGGTGGACCTTTTGATAAAAGACTGATGAAATACAGATATTTCAGTTTCAAATAACTGGGATGTTCTGAGAACAAAACATTTTGTTGAAAAATGTAGATACATTCTCCTCTTTTTTTTTTGCTACCAAAATTCACTGGATTTTAATGCCATTTGGATTTTAACACCAAAAAAATCACCCAGTGTACCCATGTTTAGTTATTTTGGTAAGTACTATAATAAGGCATTTATAATTATACTAGTACTTCATGTAGTAGAACTTTTATCATTCTTTGCTCTAAAAGAAAATATGGGTAATATCTGTCCAGAAAGCACAAAGAACTGAGTATCAAAAAATTACAAGAACTGTAACAACAGGAAATGCAAATGATCAGGTACCACATGAGGAAAGAAAAAGCTTCTTGCTCAGCTTCACTCTATGGCTAAACAGACATATTAGGCAAAGCACAATCTAGTTTTTCTAGTGAACAAAAAGGCAATCTAATACTAATCCATTTCATTAGTATTTCAGATAGATCTTCTCTACCACAAAAGCTAAAGTGCACAAGTATTCATCTTCATAAAATAGTGATGAAAAATCACTTTCCCAATGACTTTCATCTGAAATTATGTAATCACAAGCAAGGCAATGAGGCTGTCAAAGGATATCTGGTGATTTTACTTTTTCCCCAATATAATCTTCCATAAATCTACAAACATCATTATCAATTTTGGTGTTACAGGAGTGTTTTGATGCCAAGTTTCCCAAATTTTCTGAACCAGATGACYACCTTTATACCTTTTTATTATCAGGGATTTAATAGAGAACTACTCTGAGTTGTAGAAAAGTCTACATGAAGAAAGACAAGCTCAGTGGCAAACCACAGGTTTAAACTAACACTACTCGCTGTAAATGATGCATCATTTCAGTCTGTCGATGTCTGCTCTTGGAGTAGAGCTTTTCTAAAAACAGTGGCACATAACACGCTGAAAATACTGAACAACAGGATACTCAAAATTCTGCTGCCAGATGAGTAAAGGGCTGTGTGAATGCCAGATTTTCAGTCTCCAAATACTGCTGCCAGAAAAACTGTCCCTAACAAGTGTTTGTGATCAGAGCAGCCCGAAACAAGATCATGAATCCAGCTGAATCAGTGAGCCTTTCAAAAGTCAGATTACCAGAGATTCAAGCAACATCATCAATCTTAGGAAGCAAAGGATCATTTTATTGGACCTTTATCAGTCAAGAAATGCTTATGGCAATGAAATCAAGCATAAGCAGGAGGAGAGATTAAGGACCGAAATCCCACCAGCAGCAGTATCAGAAGCAATGTTATTACCAGACAGCAACAAGCCACAGTACTCACTGTGGTAGAAGGAATAAACAGACTATTTGTCCTTGCCTTGTGTACCAGCACATTAAATCTGAGAAGATCATTAATATTACTTAATATCTTTTCAAACTGAAGTTTTTAATCAGAGTTCTTATTTTTCGCTGCCACTGCATCGTCTTGTTTTTGCTGTTCCTGCTATAAAAGGTCACAGTACTGCTATTTTGGGAGAGGCTAACAAATAAAGAAGTTTTTTCAGAGACAGGTCATTCTGCTGACCAGGTAAGCCCTGCATATTTTTCTTTAGATCTTAGCTTATCAATTGTCATTAGTCGTGACTTGTGTTGCCATGGATTTTCCCAAGCGAAGGTTATGAATGCCTAGCAGAGCCCAATGGAGATTAATGTGCTGAGTAAAACGAGAGGACAAGCAATGCCTTCAGAAAGGTCTCACCTCAGACACAATCTGTCATATTATCTTATGTGCTGCTATGATAGAAGTAAATTGGGAAAAACCCTTAACCAATGATTTCATTGTTAAAAATCAAATCATAATGATTAGCTGCACTGAACATGTAATCAGTGTTAGAGGAAATTTATTACACTTACATGTTGTTCAGAACACCCAGTGGAGCATCAGCTTATTTATCTTTCACATCAGCAAGTAATCATTACTTCTTGCAATAGAGGAATTCATTTCTGGGGGAAAAAAAAAAAATCATGACATTAAATGACAGATTTTTTCAGTAGTCATGCAATGTCTAGACATTTTGTATGAAAAAATTTAATCTTTTTACAAGGAACTTAAAGGAACATATAATTTAAAAACTATATATTATTTGTGTATGTGAATAAATTACTAGCATGTTATAAGAGGCAAGAAAAAAGTCCTTATTATTTCTGTTTTTTTTTTTTTTGACTTTTAGTTTTGACTCAACTTCATTCTGTCAAGAGCAAAGTTTATGCTTTTCAGGAACCATATACTCCCTCTTTCAGCAAAACAAACCTTTTCATAAATATGCCTGTCCCTTCATCTACCCCTCCTCACTGGTTGAAAAATAATCCCCCTAAATATTAAAACCAGAAGCATTTGAAAAACTCCTGTGGGTGATGATCCAAAATACTTACCATCCTTTTTTAATACTCACTAATTTTGAYACTTAGTTTAATATATTATGCATTTTAATATTGACTAGTAAGAACACACAAAGAAGAAATGAAGAAGCTCTGTAGTCAAATAAGGCATTTTCCATGGGGTACAGTCTATTCCTATTGTCTAAAGCTTAATAAAGGTTATATAAGCTTTAATCAGAGTAACTTTAGTTAACACATTTTATAATTTCCTCCAGCAACAAATAAGGCAGATTTTTACAAAATTTGCCTGTCATTCCCATAAATAAATATCCTCCAGGTTCTCACATGAATGAGCTTTCCTTCTTGTTTACCCTGAAAGACCAAAACACTGCAAGATTTCCAGTCAGTGATATGGAACATTCCTTGCTGTCAACAGGCTATTTCAAACATTTCTGATAGCTGAGCCTGCAGATTCCTGCATAATCTGATCTCAATAACTTGTTTTGTTGTTTTTTAATTATTCTTTATAACTCCCTTTGAACTGAATCTTTCCACAAACAAAGACACCAAAAGCTGATAAAAAAGATGATTTAGAAGTTTATACTAATTTAAACTCTGTCACGACAGATAGAAATATGTGACTGGGGATGATCTGCATTGAGAAAAATCATTAGATAGGCTAATAAGCCTGTTTAATACCTGAAGCCTCATGAAATATCTGACAAAGTAGTAAGTGATGACATACACAACTCATAGAATGAAAGCTGGTAGCATGATTCAACTCTACAGTTTTGTCAGCCCTTCAGGGAGCAGTGATTATGATGCATTTATCGAGCTATAAAGAAATGCAGACACGCTTTAGGCACGTCTCCAGGTTTAGCTCCACTTACAATGCTAGAAAYGCAGTGATAGAAATACATGAGAAAAACTGGAATAGTTAAAAACATACCACAAAAGTATAATTTTGTTCAGATAATTTTCAAGTTTCAAGCACACATCACTAATTCAAGATGGAAATCTTTCAAAAAGTGTTTCCTTCCTGCTCCGGAAGCAACTCTTAATATTACAGAGCATCTCAGGTGAGTAACTCATACCTCTGAAGTCAAGACTCTCCTTCCTGAATCTGCCAAAGCAAACTGACTTGCTCGCTTATGGATAAATATGCCGTCCTTCAAATTAGCAGAAGGAAAGCCAGGTGATGAGTCAGTAGGGAGAAGTATAGGTAAGTAGTGCTTTGAAGGTGAAAAAGAAAAATAAGCAAAAAAAGAAAAAAATCCACTTGCTATCCATCCTTTGCAGATATTCCCAATAACCCTAACAGTTGCTCTTCAGAAGTCATAAAGGGTTTGCAGAAACAAGTATCCTATGAACCCGTGTTAAGTTCTTTATCACATCTTTAAATCTCAAAAACAGATGTTTCATTCTTCTTTTCTATGTGCTTCATCAAGCTTCATCTGCTATAAAATAATTTATTTCCAAAGATTCATTTGGAATCTTCCCTATCATAGACATTTAGACATTTCTCCACAGAATCAAGCCAATAAAAACAAACAAAACCCTTATTCTTGACTAAACAAGCAGTCTGATTCAGCTTCTTAGGCTTACATGTGCTTTAGWCCTATCTTTGAACTGTAACAGATGTTCATATCAATTCTGGGTTGAATTTATGAACTGTTAGAGCTTTGGGGGGATTCTCTTCTTACACTAAAAGCACTTAGAAGCCACTGCACTATCTTGCAAAAGCTCCGCCTCAYGTGAACATAAAGGTCACCTACCCATTAAGAGTACAAAAAAAGGTAAATGAAGGGAATTTAATAGTCACAATGACTTACAAGCCATATGCAGATTTTACTATACACTAACAATGAGCTCCAAATTTCCCTGGGGCCCAAAATTTCCTCCCAAGGGATCCACCTTCATAGACACATGCACATGCTGACAGTATAGTAGGACTTCCACCTTAGAGCATATGCTGGATTAGGGCCTGCACCTGAGCAYACCGAAATATCCGGTTGCTATCCACTGGAGAGTGTAAATACACAGACCATGGACCCAAAGATCACTAGAATCAAAATAATGATATTGTAAAGCAGAAAGAAGGGAAAAAATGAAACCAGAGAAAAATAAAAATATTAGAAAAAAAACATTTTTTGACATTTTTGTATCTTCATCTTTTTTGAACTYTCTGCTTGCTGTGTAATACCGCAAACTTGTTTGCTTTGCAGCCTATGGTAATCCCCAGTTTGGTTCAGTGATGGCCCTTCTCCAGCCCTCTAGGATGTTACTTCCCTCTTCATCAACTAACTTCATAGTTCTTTAACTGTTCCTAAGTAAAATCTAGGATATGATAAATATGAAACTTGTACACATATGCTTTAATCATTTGTTCCTTTGTTTTTGCCTATATTTATTCTCTTTGTTATTAACAGTTGAAAATCTTCTTGCACTTTACTTCATTTGAGACTGATAAAAATAAGGGCATTGAATACTTCAACCTTCTCTGTATTAGATATATACYTCCTTTTCCCATAAACATCTTGCAATATATTCCATACTTTCTTATTTCTAACATATTTCCAAAGCCTTCTCTTACAGAGTTCTTATAACTTGTTCAGTTGTTATAACTCACATTTTTGCCCCAGCCTGTCCAATTTCTTCCTGACATTTTTTCTATACTCAACTACAACTCCTTCTTCAGGCTTTTAATGGAATTCATTTTTGATAGATTCTTAAGAACTGAGGCTATGATGTTAGTTTTGTACCATATTCCTCAGATTTCCTGCCACTAAAGCAACCCATGGCACTTCCCTGCAAAGTAAGCGACATTCTCTGTACAACAGAGAGAGCCACCGAGTTGGCCCAAGGCCAAACCATTAGACGACAACAAAACGCAAAACATAAATCAAGATTTCAAGTGTTGAGTGCTACTCAGCCCCTTTAAATCAATTTACAAGAGCATAAGGCAAGAGGGAGGGAGTAAAACAACGTTTCTAAGGAGCAAAATAGGAAGAACAGAGAAAGCTCTGCTGCCCATGATCTGAATTGTGGCCAAATTCAGCAGTGCTGGGGAGAGAGAAGGGCCAGATAAGGACTCTGCTTCATTTTCATCTACCCTGAAAATAACTCAGTTTACCTAGATCTTACATAATGCTGCTCTTATATTTAGACTGCATCCTTTATGCTAAAAAAAATTAGAATGTCAATACCGCAGAGCCCTACAGAAAGCTACTCAAATTATATCCTTTTGGGAACTAAGAACACAGGAACTGTTTAAAAATCCACAGCAGCAGCAGCACAAACTAGTCTGAGGTGGTGGTGGTGGCAGCTTTATTTAAACAGAAAATTCAGAAGTTCTAAGCTAAGTAGAATAACTTCTAAGGGCTAACTTTATGGTCCATACCACTTCTGCTAAAGAGTGAGGCAATAGCTAATTCAAGGGCCACAGAAAATCTTGGGCTTCATTTTATGTTTCACCAAAGGAAGAGGTGGCACCTCAAACCCTTCGGCAAAGGCACTCACTCAATACAGAGACATTAGGGAAGAGAGGTGCCTACAACTCAAGTCATTATCTCCTCCTCACAAGTCTCTCCATTTTACAGGAGCAGCTTAAGGAGCAGTTAGTGAAGGCTCACTGACGACCGCTGATAAGTAGTGGGCTGCAGAGCACTTCAAGTTTTTAGGTGTGCTGAAGAGCTTGTGAGAAATKACTCCAATTACTGCATCAAGCGCTGTGGCCGCAGGCACTCTCACGATGATGTTCAGAGGTGCTGCTGCTCTTTAGAGCTTCATCCTCACAGCTGAATTCAAAGGCACACCAACTGTTTCTTTTGCCACACCACTGGACTGTCCCACTATTTCCTTGTACAACATCCCCTCTCCTTCCTAAACCAAACAGAATAAATGTGTAATGCTTATTTCCATGATCCTATTTTCCCATTATCATCACCATCATGAGAGAGCGCAGAACCTTTCTAGAGGAGGCAGCACTGCTGCTGTGTCGCATCTCTAGGGGGCCATTTCAACCGGGTGTGCTGTCTGTCCAGGGAATACGGTAAATAATGTAGGCCTTAGTTAAACTTTTTCYCTTTTTAGTCAAACACTTTACAATTCTCCTTTGAACATTAATCAATCCTCTTATTTCAGAAGTACTGGATCAAAGCTCTGGAGAGAGAGAGCAAGCAAGGGAGAGAAATGCAAAACTATAAATATGCAAGAGAAAAAAAATCTCAGAAAAACAGTTCAGATTTTTGAGAGTCGGGTCACTCCCTGAACTGAAAGCTATTTTAAGTCAATGTACATCAAGGTGCCCTCCATAAACACTCAAAACATAACACGGTAACATCTGTAGCACTCACCTCATTCTCTAAGTCTCCCTCATGGATTTTGACATGTTACTTAATCTTCCCACCCAGTTAGTAGAAAATATAGGTTCTTGGCAGTAACTGACAGCAAACAGGCAATATACCCCCACATATCTCTATATATCTGCCTCAGAAAGGGTAAGGTCAGGGAATACCTTTAAGCAGGCTTTACGCATACTTTCTTTACTGCCAGCATGTAAAGTTCAGCATGTAATGACACAGCAGTCTGCTTAGACACAGTATTTCTAAATTCTCCAAAGCAAG